CATGGTTTTAGAGTAAGGTTAGCTTGTCGCAATCGCTCAAAAACTTTCTTTAGTTTGCTTACGTGTTCTTCGAATGTTTGTGAGAATATAATAATGTCGTCTAGGTAGATTAGCACTTCCTTCCATTTCATATCTCAAAAAACTTGGTCTGCTAGTTCTTGGAAAGTGGCTGGAGCGTTGCATAATCCAAAACTTAAAACATTAAATTCGTAAGTCCCATATCCTTGCGCCACGAAGGCAGTGTATTGCTTGGACTTCTCTTCGACTGGAACTTGCCAATATACGGAAAACATATCGAGTGTGCTGAACAATTTTGCATTGCCCAAGTATGACAAAATGCCATCGATCTGCGGTAGTGGCTATGTTGATTTTTTTGTTACTGTGTTAACCTTTCTGGAATCTACACAAAATCTTGTTTTTCCATCTTTTTTCTTAACTAGCACTACAGGGCTAGCCCATGGAGAGTGGCAAGGCCGAATTACTTCGCTATCGAGCATTTCCTGGATTTGTTCGTCAATAATCTGTCTTTCTTTTTGTGACACTCTGTATGGGCGGCTCTTTATTGGGCGAGCCTCTCCGACGTCTATTATGTGTTCTGTTAAGTTTGTCTTTCCCATATGTTTTGTAGATTTCGTGAAAACGTCGTTGTATTGCAGAAGGAGTTCTTTGAGTTCATGCCTATTCTTCTCGTTTGTGATGTTGTCTAACTTATGATCTTCCATTGTTATTTCTTCGCTCTCTTCATCTTTTTCTGCTTGCAACATGAAATTGTGTGAAAGATTTGTCTCTGATGCTGTTTCTGCCAAAAATGCCTTTGTGGTTCCGGCGTATATAGCTACTGGGTTCCTTGTGTTTGATTGTACTTTTAAAATGAGGCTACCTTCATTGGTGTGAATGTGCGTTTTTAGTTCAAGATGATTTTTTGCTAACCAGTCTAAATTATATTTGCATGTATACATAGTATCCCCCATCCACCCATAATATCTAATTCCAATGTTTTTAACTCATTCTGAGATACCGTATAATCTTTTTTTGTACCCACTTTATATGTCTTTTTCTTAGTTTTTGTACCGATTTGCATCAGATACCTGATTTCTTCTTCCTGCTTTTCTTCTTTAGCTTTATACCAAGGTTTTTCCCTGTAAATGTGAATTTGAACCCCTGCATCTTCAAATGGAAAATATTTCATCTGTTTAAATCTTGCCCATTCTTTTTCTAATCCCCATCCTTGTCTTGGGATGACTAATTTTTTGATGGAATTATTTTTTGAGATATTGTTCCTCAGTGCTGTAAGACATTTATACATGTTTCTTGGACCTGGCTTCTCTTCCATTGATTCTCTTGTGAATAGAAAAATGACTGATTTTTTTCCTTGTTTTGACATAGATAGCTCCCCAATGGTTCCTTTCCCTCTGTTTTTTGAAATCATATGCCTATATTTTTTGGAAACTGATTTTTTTCATTTGTAGTTTTGGGTTACTCCTACTACTAAAACGGCGTCGTTCGTTAGGACGTCTATGTCTCCATATTCTTCTTTCATGAGACCGTTAACCTGGTCATCTTTTATGTGAATGTGCTCTCTTACAAACTTGTTAAACTCTTGTTCATCTCTTGAAGTATCTAGTCTAGGCTCTCTCATTTTTGTCGGCTGTTTTGTTGTGACCAGACCTGACATGTTGATTTTTTCGTTATTCATTTGTCTTAAGCCGGCTACACACGCTCTGGCAGGCCTGTCAGTTCAAACTGAACAGTCCGACTGAAGGCCGGTCGCCTGAACGTGTGTATATTCCGGTCGATGTATCATTTAAGACTGTTCAGGTGGCCGGAGTAAAATCAAAAATATGTTCGTTCATCCGGCCGGCCTGACGTAGGTACTCAAAGGCAAGCCTGATGGACGTGTGTATGGTACGGTCCGCCTGTCGGGCCGTTGGGATATCAGTTCAGTTAGTTTCAGTAGTGAGCAGTCAGCTTAAGCCATATCGCGCGAAATAGAAAACAAGTGGTTGCAGTCAGCCTTTCGTGAGGTGGGATTGCTTCTCTCATTATAGTATGTTTTCTTTCTATCAAAAGCGCTACCAATGATAAAAGCTGCAGATATGTATCTTCATCCATACGTAGATAATTGTGCCAATCCTTTGAAGCCAACTTCATTTAGCAAATTCACGTGAGAGAATAAGCGCCTTTTTCTCAACCAATCTTTTTTATCAAGAGCAACTACCTACTGAACCAAAAGATGCTAAAAACGCGTCATCGTCAGTAGAGGCTGAAGAATATATCAGATTCGCCTGAACATTTGGAGGGTCATCAGTCCATCCGGCGACCGGCCTTCAGGTGAACTGTTCAGTTCGAACTGACAGGCCCGCCGGACCGTGTGTAGCCGGCTTTAGGGGTATTTCATGCTGACCATTCAGAATCAGTTTTTTTCCGTGGGAGATCTATGATCGCGTTATTTTTTTTCAAAAACTGCATGCCTAGGATTATTGGTTGAGTTAATAGAGAATTATGGCACCTTCAAATAGCGCCGGTCACTAATATAAACATTCTTATTTTGACATTATTCACACCTACGCATGCGCATTTGTGACTAAAAATAGGGGCGGTCAGTAATAAAATAAGGATCATCCTTATTTGTGATTGGATAGTGAAAGGCAGTATTTGTTCCACTATTTTTCGAGACATGCGCAAATCTAAATCAAATGTCAGATGCCAAAGAATTTTTCACATTCTAACTTCACATAATAGATTTATATTTTTTGTTTGTAGTTTGTGTTTTGTGGATGGATAAAACCGAAAAACGTCATCATTTGCACCCCCTAGAATGGCATCTTCTAACATTTCTTTCATTATAATTCCGTATTTAGAGATTTATAAGATCATAGGTTATGTTCAATTGAGTGAACAATGCGACACTGATGCGAAAAAATGGTCAAAACAGTGCCAATTTAATATGTTTTGCCATAATTCTTTTTATTCATAAGAAATAGTGACTGTCAGTAATTAAATAAGGCCGATCAGTAATAAAATCGATCAGTATTTGGAAAGTGCCATAATTCTCTAATGATGAAATCACTTTGGCGTTTAGTCTGCCCTTCCATTTTTGTCTCCCTGGTATTTCTATCAGAACTTCAAGTTCTCCCAAAACTTTTATCTGGTGTCCCCCTGCAGTGACTAGAACCGTGTCATCATTTCTTGTTAGTTCCTCTTTGATTAGACTTCTTTGTAGAACGCTATCTTGTGCTCTTGTATCCACGATTGCTGACACTTATTATTTAATCTAATTGTGATGTGCAAGATTCCTATGTTATTGTTCTTCCCCAGGGTAAGGATGGCAGGGGCTTTTAATTTTGCCATCCCTTCTCGTTTGGGTTTTGTCGTCGGGTTGTACAGGTGTTTGCATAGTGACCCTGTTTTCCATAAACAAAGCAACCAGGATTGTTTTTGTTGTTTCGTGGCGTATACGATTTATTCCGTTGAGGCTGGCTTTTGCATACTGTTGCAGTATGTCCTGTTTTCCCACAGTTGTAACAAATGGTGGCAATTTTTGAGTTGGAGTTATGATTTCTCATCTTTTGGCTCCTGCATACAACTGCGAAATCTCCTGTTTTCCCACAATTATAACACGTTTGGCTAGATATTGGTACTCTTGTCCTTGTGTGTTCACCTTGTATTCGGATTCTGCAGGTGGCCATTACATGTCCTGTTTTACCACAATAATGACATATCTTTAGTTCTGTGTCTGTGATTGTATTTCTTTCCGTACAGCTGGTAATTTGGGTATCTTGCGTTGCACCTTTTTTCGGAGCTTTGTCTATCGTGTTTCTTTTAATTGTATAAGTGATGTTGGTGGCTTGTTCGGCGGGTTTGTTAACCAGTAGTAATTGTAATGATTTGTCTCCGACAACCCTTCGCTAAAAATCCTTACAATCCTGACAGTGTCTTTCCAGCTGTTGTTTTGGTAGTCGCGCTTATATTCCTGAAACCACAGATTTGCGGCTCCGTCTAAATATGTTTCAAAATAAAAAAAAATCAGTTTTTCGTCCCATCCATTTGCTATCGCTGATCTATCATATGTTCTAAGGAACTCGATTGCACTGGTTTTACACAACTGGAAGGTTCGAGGGCTGATAAACTGAGGCAAATTTGCCTGTTTCTCCGCTGTCATAGCGTTAGTTATTGTGGTGTTCGACATTATCTCCGGTTGTTCTACTTTCTCTTTTGATGGTTGCCTGGGTTTTGGTGCTTCTTGCAGGGTAAGGTCTGGTGGACTACCAAAAATACTGTCTTCTTCGTAGCCTGTTTGATTATTTGCTTGGTTTTCTATCTTACTTTCAATCTGTTATAAACTGATACTGGTTGACCCTGGTGGAATTCTTTGAAGTGGCCTTCTTGACTGAGAAAACGAGTATTCAAATTCTGTGCTCCTATGAGACGGTCTAAATGATTCTTTTAGTGTTGCAGCTGCTGCGTTCTTTGGCCTCAAGTTGTATGCTCGCTTATCTGACATCAATATCGCATCTGGCAAGCTGTTCAAATATTTCTGATTTAGAAGAAAAAAAAATCGTCTTCGCCACCGTCTCGTGAATTTCGCTTGAGTGCTTCGCAACGGTGTCGTGAATTTCTCTATGCCCTTTAATGTACGCTAGTCCTATAAGACGCATGACCCTTCGAACACTGGGGCCCTTATAGGGAGCCACACTTCAACGCTGCTTGGGGGACTGTCGATTAGTTATCGTCACCCTTATGTCTTGTCCAGAGGGGCTTTCCCAACGAGAGGTAATTGCACTGGACAACGATAAGGCTGAAGATACCCAGAGGGGCTTTCCCAACGAGAGGTACTTGCACTGGGGAGACTTAATTCCAGAGGGGCTTTTCCAACGAGAGGTAGTTGCACTGGTTTAAGTCTCCCTTTGTTGCCGCTTGCAGCGCAATTTATATCCGTTTATTGCTGAATTGCAATAAACATCCGATCGAATCAGCAATTAAATTAATAAGGTTGAATACCGGGTCCTCCTTTCCTAAGCCGCTAGTTGACAATATGTATAGATATATTAATAAAATGCTAAACAAAACAGCCTTAAGTATAATAATGTTGATCAGATTTATTTTAAATACTTTTAATAGGAAATATGCCATTGTGTCCATACATTCTGCTGAAAGTTAAACGTAGGTAAACTAAAAATTAGTTTCATTTATATGAAAAATTTGGTAATTAGTTTTAGACAATCAGATATCTTTATGAATTATTTTGTTTCCTTTAGCTGTATTAAGGTGGCAAAAGTTCATCATAAGGAACTACTGAAAATATAGCTTGCACTACTTCCGCAGCTAGCACTTGTATAAGCTCTATGACCACTGGATATCCCATATCCCTTATCACTTCTTTGGCATTGTCATTGAGAAATTTATTCATATTATCACCTATAAATTTTATTCATTCAATAATATATTTTTGGTAATTTGATTTTCTACCCAATTCTTTGTTCCCATTGAACAAGTTGTCCAAGTGAAAATAGGCTTTTGTAACATCAAGATCCGTTGAAGAAGCTGTAATGTTTGCATACTCCTTTCCGTCCGGTTTGTTTATCAATTTGTAGTTGAAAGTATAATTAAATGAACTATCGTCTGAAATCCTAAAATTGATATTTTGCTTCTTGATTTATTCACTACCTACAAAATGTCATATTTGCAGCTCCACTTCCTGTTATAGGCAAGATAAGAATTTGTCCTGATATCGTATACTGGCTGGACAGTGTTAAAAAGTCGTTTTTGAAAACAATATTCACCCGTTGAGCTTTTGGATCAACGCTAAATAAAAAAATTGAGTTACTAGTTTTTATCTAAGAGGTTTTTCATTGATCGTCCTAATTAAGAAATCACTGTCAACTTACTTATGATAGGCCACTTCCATTTTCGACAAACCGAAAAGTGAAACATCGGTCAAAGTAAGTCTCAGATTTGGGCCACTATTCAACTCTAGATGGGGTAATTTTAACGGATCTAATACGGGGATTTTATATTCTTTATCACCTGATAAAAGAAAATATATCATATTATATTCAAAATTTCAAAATAAACGATAAGACCTTTGGCTTAATATGGAATCGCTGCAGCTGCACTTTTCAAAGAACAATCTCCTTCATTTGGATTGGCTTTTTTGCATGGCGTTATATAAGTAGCTGAAAATATTGTTGTATAAATGCTGGAATAACTAAACGATGCAAGAAAAAATTTAGGTTATATCTTTTTAAAAAATCACAAGGGCGTTAAGCTTGGTTTTTCTTGTGTTTTCGTATTGAATAGTGAACTGTAGGTACCTACTAACATTAATACCAAACTCTTATTAATCAAAAAAATCACTGATAAATTATTGAAGAAGTTATTTTGATATAAGCGTTGATTTTTTTTCAAAAACTACCCTGATGGCAGATAATAATTTATTTATTCCAATAAAAATATTATTTATTATTACTTACGCAAATGTTTACAATAAACAATTCCCAAATAACCAATTAGGAACAGACAAAATATGTAATTACTCATTTCAAATCCAAATCATTGGAAACTGAATTAGGCACTCCATTAAATATAATAAGTATGAAATTACAATTTTCTTGTTTAAATATGCACTAAAATATTAAAAGTAATGACGTACGTGAAAAAAAAACTGGTGTTGTTTTAAAAAAATTATAAATGAGATGCTGACCTAATTACCGGTTTGTTATTTAGTAAATTTTACGCATTAGAATATTATGCACATTAGATTTCATAATTGATCAGTTAATTAATTGTTGAAAAAAAAATCTATTGAATAAAATCGAAAAATGGAAGTTGTACTGTCGGGGGTATTTCTGGGTTTCGATGAACAAGGATAATATCGGTAGGTATCAACTTTCTTTTAGGTATTTGGTAAGACACTTCTATGGAGTTTATAAACTTTTCACATGAAAAATCATATTAAAAAATTAGAATCAATTAAGAAAATCACAATACCTTTTTCCCGTTGTTGGTGTTTTGGGGTTAAAATAGGCTTTTCTATTTCCCAAATTTGATGTAGATGATGTTGAAATAATGCTCGAAGTGTCACTATACTACACGGTATATTGATTAAAAATACAATTACCTGACAACACAGTAGATCGAAGCTGATATATTCAAACAGAATATGACTTTTAACTTTGTATATTATTGGAGGAGTGAGGTTCAAGAAAACCCGTGAAATTCTATTGAGGATTTGACACAATAATGTGTCTGGGGATTTTGATATCATTGCTGGCATTTCTTCGCAAAAACTAAGCCAAGCATCATGCAAATCCATTGGAACACTCGTCCCAGTCAAGACCCAACTATCAAAGATGCTGTATAATGATCTTAGCTCTAATCATACAGGGACCTATCACTATAGGGTCAAATATTTAAGCAGTAATTGCAAGGATCGCATGTTTGGTGATTTTACGAGAGCAAAGAGAAGTAGTTACTGTAAAAATGTCTTCCATTGAATTCCATACAAGACCGAGAGTTTTGATTGTTTTATCATCAGAGATGATTTTGTTTAATGAACAGTCGTTGATCTTGATGTCACTCAAAATAGCATCATCACTAGCCACCCATTTGCGCAAATTGAAACCTGCACTAAGAAGAATGGTAAAGATTTCTTTGATAAGTGTTTTTCCTCCCTCGATGGTGTTGCTACCTGAAAGGAAATCATCAACATAAAAACATGACTTCATTTTGTGAGCTGCATTAGGAAATTTGTGCTGATTTTTCTCAGCAACGCGTTGTAAGCATCTAACTGCTAAAAATACAACACTAGATGTACCATACGTCACTGTATTGAGTTCATATTGATCGATTTTATCTGAAGAATTATACCACCATAATATTTTTTGGAAACAACGTTAATTTTCTCTAAGATATGTGCATCGATACATTTTTTCAATATCTGATTTGAATGCGAATTTAAAAGTACGAAAGCGAATTACTATGTCCATGGGATCGTCTTAAAGTTTTCACCCACTTTGAGGGTGTCATTCAAGGATATACCAGTGGATGACTTAACAGAGCCGCCGAAGACAACTCTCAATTTTGTGGTAGAGGAGTCTAGCTTGAAAACTCTGTGATGAGGCAGAAAAAACTCATTTGTTGTAATTCCATCATTTTATGAGTTGTTGAAAATCGTAATTTTGAGTGTCATATGATTGTAGCTTGTAGCTTGCTCATGTGGCCAAGGTTTTCGTATTCTAACATGAATGCACTGTATCTTACTTTTAATTCAGGATTGCTATTCAGTAGTTTTTCAGTTGAAAAAAATTGCTTTCAAGCGATGTCAAATGAATTACCTAATTGTGAAATGTTTTCTTTGAAAGGTATAGGCTTACAAATAATCTCCCAGTTGCGCCTCTAGTGATAGTTTCAAGAAAATGAGTTTCACATTCTATTTCCTCTTGTGAAGGAAAGCTCTTGATGGCACATTCTTCCAATGTACAGGGTGATTCATTAAGAATGGCACTCGGCCATATCTCAAAAACTATTCATCGTAGTCTTGTCGGAAAAAAATTGTCCCATAAATATGGCCAAGAGAAAATGCTGGAAATATATTTCAGTTTTCTAAAATGACCATAAGGGGGCGTAACCCAACTGTCAAAGTACAAAAATGGTTTTAATTTTTAAATTTCAAATGGAAACGTATCTCAAAAATGCTAGCAATAGATTTTTGATGAAATTTCACACAATTTTGATTCATGACTTTTTACCATAACTTATCGGATAAGATAGTTATGAGCTGTCAAATATTGCAACACAAGAAAGCGGATAACTTCAAAACGACTCAACAAATCTCGTCGATCCTAGGTTAGTTGGAAAGACAAGAGTCTGTTCTTTAACTTTGTTGTGAAAAATTCAAATTCTGGTTAGTAGGACTGACGCTATGGATCAATATTTGAAAACAATTGAATGTTTCCAATTTTTCTCAAAATTTTCAAATGGAACGGTATATTTAAGATATGTTAGATCGATTTTTGAGGATGTTTTACATAGTGTTTATTTATTATACCTTCCTACAAATGAATTCCAGAGAGTGTTAAAATTGATTTTATTAAAAATAATCAGTATTAAATACTGATTATTTTATGGAAAAGCCCTCGTAATTTTTTTTTTTTTTTTACGAATATGCGCACTCGCAAGGAAATGTCCTATCACGCTCGAGAAGCGGCAAGTGCGCGGAAATGTCGATGTATGTTGATCTTGAAACGGTTCAGGTTGTAAACTGCAGGGAAAACCATCGCAGGGAGTTTATTCCACAGCGATGCTGTTCTCCAGAGATATGAATTCTGATATAATGAGGTTCTTGGTGCCTCTAGTTTGACAGTAAATTCATGGTTACCGTCTGTTTGACGGGTTCGCCTGGTAGGCGCTACTCTCGGTGGAATCATACGTGCCAACTCTTCAGAGCATTTTCCGTGATAGTACCTGTAGAAGAGAGATAAATCGCCCACAGATCTGCGATGTTCGAGACCATCCAAGTTACGAGTAAGTGCGGGGTCATTGATCAGCTTGATAGCTCGTTTTTGCACGGTGTTCAAAAGCATTAAGGTATGTTTGGGTGCTGCACTCCATATATGTGAGCAGTACTCCATAGTTGGTCGAATCTGGGCTTTGTAGAGTGTCAGCAATTGGCTTGGTGTGTACAGATGTCTTGTACGAAATAGCACCCCCAGCTTTTGGGACGCTCTTTTAGCAATATCTGCCACGTGACTGTGCCAAGACATGTTGGTCTCTGCAGTAACCCCCAAGATGTTCAACTGACTCTGTAATGTGACAGCACTTCCAGATAGCATGATGTTTGGCTCACCGGTGCTGGTCTTTTTTGAAAACAGAGCTGCTTGGGTTTTCTGCGCGTTGAACTGTACAAGGTTTTTGTTACCCCAGTCCTCTATTATCTCCAGGTCGTTATTTATCTGCGATATTTGAGTTAGTCTAAGATGATGGAATTCACGTGCGGAAAGACCTGTGGGTGGTATGAGTGAGGAGACTACATTGTCATCGTCTGCAAAGCAATAAAGTGGATTTACTGTTTTATCTATGAGGTCATTTATGTAAATCAGAAAAAGAGTTGGCGAAAGGATTGCTCCCTGTGGCACACCAGCATTTATTTGGTAAGAGTTGGAGTTCTGGCCATCCAGTGCAACATAAATGGATCTGTCCTTTAGGTAACTTTCAAACCAAGTGCAAAGTTTCGGCGATAATCCCATTGCTTTGAGCTTGTTGAGCAGATTTTCATGCCAAACTTTGTCGAATGCTTTAGATATATCTAAGGCAATTGTTCTTGTTTCACCCCGCAACTCAATCGCTTTTTGCCATAAGTGAGTGACGTATGTAAGTAAATCGCCAGTTGACCTATATTTTCGAAATCCGTATTGCTTATCGTTGATAATTTTGTACTTTTCCAAGTACTTGGTTAGGTGATTGTTCACAACTCTTTCCATTACTTTTGATATCACCGGAAGTAGAGCAATTGGTCTATAGTTTAACGGATCTGTCTTTTTTCCTTTCTTTGGAATGGGTTGTACTGCGGCAGACTTCCATGATGATGGATATACTCCTTGCCTGTAAGACAAATTGAATAATTTTGCGAAAGTTGGGGTGAGTTCGTTGGCGCAATTTTTGAGTACTATTGCGGGAATGCCATCCGGACCCATTGCTTTGTTTGTATCTAACTTTTTAAGGGATTTTCGTATTTCTCTGTGACAAAAGGGTACCACTGGCATACTATGGGAAACCCTTTCAATGAACGGTGGAGTTTTTCCGTTTGGCACTGTTAGGTTGGAGTTGGAGGAAAACATTTGGGCCAGCATATTGGCTTTTTCCTCTGATGTTGTGGCTAAGTGATTATTTTTATCTGTAAGTGGTAGTATGGATGACTTGGTGAAGTTAGATCCAACAGCTTTTGAAAGAGACCAAAAGGACCTAGAACTACTTGGACAATTCAGCAACCTGTTTTTTATTCTTTGATTGTATGTTTCTTTAGCGGAGTCAATAGTAATTTTGCAACTATTTCTGGCTTCTATAAATTCTGTGTGGTTTTGAGCGGTTTGTTGTCGTTTCCAAAGATTATATGCTCTGTGTTTTTTCTGTACAGCCGTTTGACACTGGCTGTTGAACCAAGGTTTTGCATTAGCTCTACGTTTAGTTGTATGTGGGATATATGCATCCATTCCAGATAAGATTACTTGTGTTATTTCATTACAGCAAATAGTGGAATCAGCTGTTTTAAAGCAAACCTCTTGCCATGGAAAATCCAGGTAAAACTGTTTTAGGTCATTCCATTTTGCCGATTTATAGTGCCACATTTTACGAGGAAGTGGTTGTTGGCTTGGTGGGATGAGCATTTCGCACTTTGTTATTATAAGTTTATGATCGGACGAACCAAGTGGAGCATCTATCGACAAGCTGCGTTAGACCACAACTTATGGCAAAAGCTTCTGCTTCTCTGCCTTCGTTATCTGTTTTGTTGTGGTGTTTCAGCCAGGGTCTATTGTGGACGTTGAAATCGCCTAAAAAGACAATTTCCGCCTGTG